TATGACTCGTCAGATTGGAGGATCGCCTGACCACTTGTGACTGATCCATCGGGGAGGACCCAGAAGGCTAACCCGCTTCTCAGAGGACTGAGGGCCTGTAGTGAAAGTGCCTCACTGCCTCGAACAGAACTTGGAACGCATTTCGAAAAGCTAGAGAGGAGGAGAGCACTGAGGCTAGATTCGACTGCAACACATCTCGAGCAACCAATAGCCCAGACCAGTTGCAGAACAGCTTTGCAAAAAATCTTCGAATACAGGTATCGATCCTCCTTAAAGCAGCATAAGGAAGGAGAAGTCTAAAGAAGTACCACAAAGACCTTCTCGACTACCATGTTCCGCTGACAACGAATAAACGATGACGGGACACGCACATCTTCCCGACAAAAATTGGAATCGATTGCGAAGAGATTCTACATCAATCTCTTCCGCTCGTCAACACCCGTTCAAACCCCCTCATTCCCACTGGAGAATTACCACCACGAGTTCTACCTGCTGAAGTACGCGCTGCAATTAAGACCATGAAGGCAGCCACGGTTCCAGGAACGGACCAAGTTTCGGGCGACCTCCTACGAACTGGAGGACATCGCCTACACGAGATACTTGCGGAACATCTAACGTCTATCCTTCAAAAGGAAAGGATCCCCGACCAGTGATCACCACTACCTCCCGTATTTCAAGAACACTGGATGAAGTCCCCTGTAGAAAGTCGTCGGTGTCATCAAGACCAGTGTCAGGTTGCACAGGAGGCCATAGATTTCGGAACAAAAGGACACGTAAACGAGCGCCATCGGGATTGTCTCATGCTCTGCACCTACAACGTTAGAACAGTTTCAACGCCGATCTCCACGCCTTTCTCGAAGCTGCAGGGCACATGAACTATCACTTAATCGCCTTGGAGGAAATAAAATCAAGGAATGCGGACGTGAGGTAGCTGAATGATGGCACACTCGCAATAAGAAAGTTCCATCACGGAACGTCGGAGGCGTTAAATTTGTCGTGCACTCAT